AAAAAAAATAAATAAGCTTAACACAAAGGGAGAAAAAGAAATAATAGTAACTTGGTCCAGAGCATCTACCATTATACCCACAATGATTGGGCATACTATTGCTATTCATAATGGAAGGGACCACTTGCCTATTTATATAACGGATCGCATGGTAGGTCATAAATTGGGAGAATTTGCACCCACTCGAAATTTCCGGGGGCATGTGAAAAATGATAATAGATCTCGTCGTTAATAATTAATATTATTAAAAAAAAGTGAATATAGATACCTATCGTTCATTACTAAGAGGTAAACCCTATGATAAAGAAGATAAAAAAGAATCCATCTACAGAAGTATACGCTTTAGGTCAACATATATGTATGTCCCCTCACAAAGCGCGAAGGGTAATTGATCAGATTCGTGGCCGTTCCTACTACGAAACACTGGTAATACTCAAACTCATGCCTTATCGAGCATGTTATCCTATTTTTGATTTGGTTTATTCGGCAGCAGCAAATGCTCGTTGCAATATGGGTTTCAACGAAGCAGATTTAGTCATTAGTAAAGCGGAAGTCAACCAAAGTACTACTGTGAAAAAATTAAAACCTCGAGCTCGAGGGCGAAGTTATCCCATAAAACGACCCACTTGTTCTATAACTATTGTATTGAAAGATACACTTTTGTCTGAGTTTTCTTCAGACAAGTTGAAAAGATACCAATACAACATATTAGACTTAAACAAACCTGATGGATGGATAACGAAAGAAAAGTACCCAGATATGACGTCTTATGACATGTATAAGAATGGGGGATTATGGGACAAAAAATAAATCCACTCGGTTTTAGACTTGGTGTAACCCAAGGGCATCATTCTCTTTGGTTTGCACACCCCAAAAAATATTCCGAAGGTTTACAAGAAGATCAAAAAATACGAGATTGTATCCGGAATTTTGTACAAAAAAACATGACAAGAGTCTCTGGTGTTGAGGGAATTGCACGTATCGAAATTCAAAAAAGAATTGATCTTATTCAAGTGATAATCTTTATGGGATTCCCAAAGTTATTAATAGAAGGTGGGTCTCGAAAAATCGAAGAATTACAGATGAATGTACAAAAAGAATTAAATTCTGTGAACCGAAAACTCAACATTGCTATTACAAGAATAGCAAACCCTTATGGACACCCTAATATTCTCGCAGAATTTATAGCCGGACAATTACAGAATAGAGTTTCATTTCGCAAAGCAATGAAAAAAGCTATTGAATTAACTGAACAGGCGGGTACAAAGGGAATTCAAGTACAAATTGCCGGACGTATAGACGGAAAAGAAATTGCACGTGTCGAATGGATCAGAGAAGGAAGGGTTCCTCTACAAACCATTCAAGCTAAAATTGATTATTGTTGCTATCCAGTTCGAACTATCTATGGGGTATTAGGCATAAAAATTTGGATATTTGTAGACGAGCAATAATAAGCCCTTACTCAACTTGTGTTTACGTTTTAATCAATGATCGACCAAGAAATGACAAATCAGTCTTTTTCGTTTAAATAAAAAATGAGCAATTCTATAAGGTTAAATAAAAATGAAATTAATCATTTTAGAAAATTGCTATGCTTAGTGTGCGACTCGTGGGTTTTTTTAAGGTTAGGATTAAAACCAAAAAGAAGGATCAGCCCATATATAATCTGAACTAATAATTATAAAACTAATAACCAACTCATCGCTTCGCATTATCTGGATCTAAAAAACCAACCAGTCAAGATATGTTATATTGGTCATATCATTGTAGCAACTGAAATCTTTTTTGCATAAAAAAAAATCCGATTATGAGTTGTGAAGCAATAAAAGTATGCGGATAAATAGAAGGGTGAAAGAAAGAGAGAAAAAGAATATGAATGATATATGATTCCAATATGTAAGGTCGATGGGTCATCTCATAAAAAGTAGTGTAATAAAGCATTAAGACTGATGGATTCATAATTAGATAAATCTGTTCATAGAATAGAACAAAAAAGCCAAGAGCCCCAAGACAATAAAGACTGAGAAGATTGATTCAAGAACAAATTTTAGTTTGATTAAGGACTCCATTATAGAATAAAGACCTAACCATTAATCGAGAGGCGATGGGAACGAGGGAACCCGTGAATACATAATATTCTATTGAAAAGGAATCCTAATAATTCATTGGGTAGGATGGCGTAAGGAACCCAAGACCAATCCATTTATTATGAGAAGTCGGTTCATGGGCTAACTAACCCGAGAACCGAAACACATATAAAAAGAGGAAATATTCGCCCGCGAACATTTCAATTTTATTAGATTTATAAATTTGGGTCGATCAAATATAAGACTAGATAAAAAAAGAAAAGGCAAAACAAAATAAAGGTTTATTATAACTTTATAATATTATCTATTATTTTTTAGAAAACTATAAAAAAAAATGATTCTATTATTCATTCTAGAATCTATAAAGAGTTTAGTTTTCTATCAAAAGAAGATATTAAAATTTCTAATAGATTAATTAAATTAAATCTCAAAGAATCCCATGATTCAATCTATTATTCAGTAAATACATGTACATTTTTTTGAATCGTTTCATTCGCGAGGAGCTGGATGAGAAGAAACTCTCATGTCCGGTTCTGTAGTAGAGATGGAATTGAGAAATAACCATCAACTATAACCCGAAAAGAACCAGATTTCGTAAACACCATAGAGGAAGAATGAAAGGAATATCTTATCGAGGCAATCGTATTTGCTTCGGTAGATACGCTATTCAAGCACTTGAACCCGCTGCCCTTGATAAATGAATCAATACTTTCTACTCGAGCTCCATCATGTACTATTTACATCAAAACCCTCAAAAAATTAGAGCTCTAGTGGAACAGAACAAACGATGTCGAGTCAAGAGCATCTTCATTCCTATATAATATAAAATGGTGGGTATAAGAATCCACAGTAGATCATGTCCTTCAAGTCGCACGTTGCTTTCTACCACATCGTTTTAAACGAAGTTTTACCATAACCTCTAATTTCGTGCAACTGGTATGTAATTGATTCATTTATGGAATCATGTATAGTCATTGGTTTAGTTGGTCCATAGTAATCTATACTCTTATGACATGGGTAGTTTTTGAAAAAGTCTTGGGAATACTTCTATTTATTTAAACCCATATTTTATTGTATATATTGGATCATATAACATTTTTTTTTCTATGAGTGCAATATTTATTTCTCTATATATAGATATTTTCTAGATAATATCTATATCGAGATCGAGAGAGAGATTTTTGAATTTCTATAAAATCAATTAAGAAATCATTAATTACGAATAATTAAGAATCTCCATTTTTCAATTTCTTCATAGAATGGATTCACGAGTTTCATACTTCTTCGAGTACCAAGGACTCATAAGAAATCCTTAAAAAGATTTAATTGATTGAAAATTTGCAATATTATTATTTGAATAAGGTTTTGTTGTAAAAAAAAAAAGGATTTATTACATTTTATTATCATAAATAAATGTATATTCGGATTAACCCATCCATAATTTGAAACAAATAGATAGATCCAAAATAAAAAAATTTTTCACAAAAAAAATAAATAAAACGATAAAAATACATAATAACAAGACATACATCTCAGCATTTTCTGCCTAGTTTATTTAAGTTAAGAGACTCAATTCAATAATCTTTCCCTAAAATAAAGTGAAAAAGATATATAAATAACCTCTGTCTGAATTGTTACTTGGATTTACAATTATCCATTAAAGACAAACACAAAATCCGAAAAAATGAGGTGAAAAGAAATACATAATATGTTACATATGTAATTTGATTCTTTGTTAATCAGATTCGGGCAGATATTAAAATTGATATCTTCCATTATGGATTAACTCCTATCTACCCCCCAATTATATAGAGTAGATGCATCATAAATTAAAAAAAAAGCTCCTACGGGGGACTGGACTAGTTTCGGAGGTGCTAGACTATCTTGTATAAGACCAAAATCAAACAGATCTAGATTAAACGATTGTTCCTACCTATTTTTTTTTTTACTCTAAATTTGAGAGGTCTTAAGAGACTTAATATCATTGATTGAATTCCATTAATGCCAAAAACACAAGACCTTCGTGTTTATAATTCATAAATCCACAGAAAAAAAAAAAATACTCGGGTTTCACACACCATTTAAGAGATAGAGAATAAGAGAAGCTGTTTAAAAAGGCAAGCTTTAGCTTTAGTCAGATATGATATGGAATATTTTTCTATATATAATACACATACCCTGGGAAAAAATACTCGTACTCGAGTTTCACACACCATTTAAGAGATAGAGAATAAGAGAAGCTGTTTAAAAAGGCAAGCTACCGTAAGCTTTCGAACCTCCGAATAGTCGGATATGATATGGAATATTTTTCTATATATCTTAGAATATACTATTCTATATATAATACACATACTCTGGGACGGAAGGATTCGAACCTCCGAATAGCGGGACCAAAACCCGTTGCCTTACCACTTGGCCACGCCCCATTTATATTCACCACCAATAAACACTAATATTCGTAGTGGTTGGTCGTCAATTCCAGTACAAAGATTTATAGAAATAATTATATTGTTGCTCGGATTTTGATACGTTTATAGATCCAATTAAACTGAATTTATTGATCATTACATATAATTCCATTAAGAGATTTTGATACGTTTATAGATCCAATTAAACTGAATTTATTGATCATTACATATAATTCCATTAAGATAATGTATGAAAGTAGGATTTCTTCTATTCTCTTTTTATTTGAGAATTGAAGGATTTTTGATTGGCTGAGTTCAAATCAAAGAAAGGTTTTTTGACCTACTTTATGTTATTAATTTTTCCCGTATCCCTTATATCATAGCAATAATAGGGGATTAATAACTCAATCAAATCAAAAGAAATACAATTATCTTCAAGAACAAAGAAAAAAAAATTGTTATGCTTAATATCTTAAGTTTCATCGGTATCTGTCTTAATTCTTTCCTTTATTCAAGTAGTTTTTTCGTCGCCAAATTGCCTGAGGCCTACGCTTTTTTGAATCCAATAGTAGATGTTATGCCAGTAATACCTGATATGAACCAAGAGACATCAATCATACAATATGCTTCAATGAAGATGTGAAGAAAAGGTTGTTAAAATTATCAAAAGATGTTTCAATTCATGTTACATTGAAGAAGAATAAAGTTTGATTGTTGTAAATTTTGGGTGGGTTACAATTTAGAGTAATTTAGAGTTATTGTATTTTAAGACATTTTATTTACTTTACAGGTTACATTTACATAATGGCTAATTATGGTCATTAAGTATGAATGTTACAACTTTTGGAATGCTTTCATTTTGAGGCTATATAAAGCCATGTATGTTGTATTTGTAAGGGAGACTTGGAAAATATATTAAAAGAAGCATTTGTGCTTTTCTTTAGCCAATGGCTAAGTTTCTTTTGCAATTCTATGTAGTTTAGGTTGCATGTAGAATCATTCAAGCTCGATATGATCAATCTTGCTTGTGGAATGATTCGAATCTCAAACAAGTGTTCTTGCGTTGAGATATTTGATCAACAAGAATCATTCAAGCTAGACATGATCGATCTTGCTTGTGGAGTGATTCGAATCTCAATCAAGTGTTCTTGCCTTGAGATATTCGATCGACAAGGTAATCCGAATCTTACCCACTTGTAGTTGATTCCTTATCATATCAATACCTCTATTCTTTTTTCTATTAGCTTTTGTTTGGCAAGCTACCGTAAGCTTTCGATAAGATTTTTAATACTGTCCGAGACAAATTCATGATTTACTAGAAAAAAAAATTCTAACTAGTTATAAGATCAGATAAATCGTACATACAGTCTGAACCTTTGAGTTGAGTCCAATATTGAAATTCTTCTATAGCTGTGATAAATCTGGATCACTCTCATTTTCTTATTCTTACTTTTTTCCATTGAACGACCCTGTTAGAGTCCCCCACAATATATAATTGTAGGTATGAAATACAATTTTCAGTAATGAACGACTCAACTCTTAAAAAATTTTCCTATTTCTTTTCTAGAAATAACTTCACTGCATTTTTTGGTGTCAAAACAGGTTAAGATAGAATAGATTCTCTATCTCAAACAACTTCACTACTTTTCTAGAAATAACTTCACTACATTTCTTCGTGTCAAAAGTACTCCACGAAAAGTGTTACCCTTTAGAGTACTACTATTCTCAAACAACTAAAAAGACTCAAAAATAATAAAAACTACTGCTTTCTCAACACATAGGCCTTCTAAACCACCAACAACAAAGAAAGTGGGAACCTTTAGAGGACTACTCAAACACACAAACACAAACGGTTCACCTTTACAGTACTAGTTCTTATACTAATACTCCTTAAAATGTTACCCTTTAAAAAAGTCTTTCTTTTGTTGTCCTGCATTTTATTACATTAAAAAATGAGTATAAAAATAGTCCATCAACATAGATCACTATCTATCGCATACCCCTATTATTCCTTTCTCATTTGATCTAATCTTTACTGTCTCCCGATTGTTTCATAGAGACAATCGGGAGATGGGATGACCTATTACATGCTAGAGCTTATCGAAAAGAAAGAAGTTCCTTTTTTTAAGATTCAAATAAAAAAAAGCCAATTATCCATTCAATATAATAGT